TCCCGGGCAACAACTCTTACAGCTACTACAGCCCTGTGCCCTCCATTGTTTTTTCCGGGTGTTTCAATACTGCCGTTTTTGCCCGGCCTCAAAAACCCCCCCAAACCCTCCAAACGCTTCCAACCCTCTCGCAGGCCTCCCAGGCCCTGCCATCTGTTTTTCAGGGGTTCAAGACTGCCGTTTGCCCGCCCTCAAACCCCCCAAACGCTTCCAACGCTCCCGCAGGCCTCCAAGGCAACAACTCTTACAGCTACATGTCCTCAAACCCTCCAAACGCTTCCAACCCTCTCGCAGGCCTCCAAGGCAACAACTCTTACAGCTACATGCCCCTGCCATCTGTTTTTCAGGGGGTTCAAGACTGCCGTTTGCCCGCCCTCAAACCCCCCAAACGCTTCCAACGCTCTCGCAGGCCTCCAAGGCAACAACTCTTACAGCTACATGTCCAACGCTCCCGCAGGCCTCCAAGGCAACAACTCTTACAGCTACATGCCCCTGCCATCTGTTTTTCAGGGGGTTCAAGACTGCCGTTTGCCCGCCCTCAAACCACCCAAACGCTTCCAACGCTGCCGCAGGCCTCCAAGGCAACAACTCTTACAGCTACATGTCCCTGCCATCTGTTTTTCAGGGGTTCAAGACTGCCGTCGCAAGCAAAGGCACACGCAACGTTTGCCCGGCCTCAAACCCTCCAAACGCTTCCGCACGCATCCAAGGCAACAACTCTTACAGCTACTACATGCCCCTGCCATCTGTTTTTCAGGGGGTTCAAGACTGCCGTTTGCCCGCCCTCAAACCCCCCAAACTCTTCCAACGCTCCCGCAGGCCTCCAAGGCAACAACTCTTACAGCTACATGCCCCTGCCATCTGTTTTTCAGGGGGTTCAAGACTGCCGTTTGCCCGCCCTCAAACCCCCCAAACGCTTCCAACCCTCCCGCAGGCCTCCAAGGCAACAACTCTTACAGCTACTACATGCCCCTGCCATCTGTTTTTCAGGGGGTTCAAGACTGCCGTTTGCCCGCCCTCAAACCCCCATAAACCCCCCCTACTACTTCAAGACTGCCGTTTGCTCGGCCTCAAACCCCCCAAACGCTTCCAACCCTCCCGCAGGCCTCCAAGGCAACAACTCTTACAGCTACTACATGCCCCTGCCATCTGTCTTTCAGGGGGTTCAAGACTGCGCAGGCCTCCAAGGCAACAACTCTTACAGCTACATGCCCCTGCCATCTGTTTTTCAGGGGGTGCATGGGCTACAAGAGCCTGTGATTCACCGTCTCTTCTGGGGCTTCTGTTCTGGCACGAACCATTTTGTTTTCTTGCATGGTTTCCCAGCAGGCGTGTCATGGTTGACGTGAATCTGCCCAAACGAACGGCATGACCACACAACAGTTTGACACACCGGGCACGAGTGGGCATGGTGCCGCGTCTTTCTGCTGACACGGCCCTCCTTCACAGAAAATTGGTTGCCGCATATGCTCCTATGGTCTATTCGCCCCGTTTTGGTGTTGCTGGACGTTTCCCCATTGCAAAATGGGCATATGTACACGGAAGCTTTTGCCACTGTGCTGACACGGCCCTCCTCCACATAAAATCGGTTGCCGCAAACGCTCCTATGCTCTATTCGCCCCGTTTTGGTGTTGCTGGACGTTTCCCCATTGCAAACTGAGCAAATGACGCAAGTGCTGCAGACTGTGGGCTATCAAGACAGTCCCTCGCAACCTTTGGCACAAATAAAGCATGAATAGCTGCAGCGATCTCAACAGGAGACATGCGCATTAGAAGGTCTTGGATGTCTTGGGGTGTTTCACCATATTTCATCCTGGTGGCGTCGCCACAATGACGTCATGAGTATTCCCCAATTTCTATCATCATTCCACTTTTGCGAATGGAATACATATAATGTAATATATATATACATACGTATGTTTAACAATGTTTCGGCCTAGGCGTTTGCTGGGCTTCTTGAGTGGCTCTATGTCTGCGCACTTCTTCCTCCACCCTTGAAAAGGGGTCGGCGGCACCAGGGCGTTAGCCCATTTATATTTCTTTATTTGTACATACATACACATACACGTGCATACATGTCTACATGTTTTTCTGCATATAATATATATATAATGTACGTACGTATGGATCCATGTACGTATGTGTGTGCGTTCAACTTTTCACAAAAAATAAAAACTTTGAGATGGCTGCAGAAAATATCAAGGTTGGATCCTCACCTTACAATTTTATCCATGAGTTGATAGTGTATATAGTGTCATCACCAGTGACATCCAAAAACAAATCCAGTCTGCATCCGTTCCTTTTCTCCTGGAGCACGATGTCGGGCACATCTGTAGGGAACTTTGTACAATCTTGTGCCACAGAGAAAACCAGGAATCCACAAAACACAAATAGGTCCTCACAGCCTCATTGTCTTTCCATTTTTTTGTATTTTAACAAGCAATTCAGAAAATCTATGTGATGCCCTTTCCAGCCCACTGGAAAGTATCAAAAAAAAACTCCGTGTTCAACCGAAAAATCTCTGGATTTTTCCGGATCCGACTCATCGCCGTGGGATGCGCGCCAGCAGGCGGGACAGCACCAGCCCCAGCGACGCTCCAATCGGCGCCTTTGGTGGAAAAAATGCCGAAAAAAGGGGAAAATCCTCGAAATTCCCAACGCTACCGGGAGAAATTGAACTTGTCTGAGTCTTTTTTGGGTCAAAGTATCTTAAATGTCAATTACGTCTTTGCTACTTGGCATTACTTAAATATTCAGTTTGAAAGGCTGCAGGAAAAGGTGGCCTCCTTCACATCAAAACAACGGACTTCCTGCAAATGTTCATCGGCAATGACCGGAAAAAAAAAGGTGAAAGTAGAACTGATGATCTGCCAATGACCAAAAGAAAAATGTCGGGATGTCATTGTTCGGTGTGTTGATCTGCAGGAGTCGGACCATTGATGGGTCCTGTTGGACCATTGATGTGGCAGATTGGGTATCCATACCGGGAAAAACCGTTGACCTTTTGGGGAGCCGCACAGCCACCACAACTCCAGTCACCTGCCAAAACGACCATAGGTGAAGCCAGTGACATTGGAGGGAAAGTCCCACTTGAGCCTTTCCCAAAATTCCGAAAATGCGCCCAGACATGATCGGGATGGTGATCTATGAGTCAAAAGAATTTGTAGGAATGTGTGATCTTTTACTTTTACCCAGAATTACCTCATGCTTAGGAGACTGTAAAAACAGTCAAGCCACCAGAAAACTCGTAGCTGACCAGAAACAAGCTTTCACGGAAGTCTTCCACCACGGCTTGAAAAAGAAACCCAAATTACATCACCCATATGATGGGATAAAACTAGTAACTAGAGGCACTTCAGTCTCAGATCATTCAGGCAACTGACTTCAAACAGTGACCTCTTCCCATTCCATTCATCAAAAAAGAAGTATCAACCAGCCCACATCTTCGCCCAACCACTCCCAACCACTCCCAGCGCACCACAAAGGGCCACTTCACAGGGGCAGAAATGAGGCCCAAGGTGACGGCCCACTGCGACAGCAGGCTGCGTTTTTTATTTTACGGATCTTGGAGGAGAGGAGGGATAAGAAAAAGTTGGAATTTTGATGATTTGATGAGTTTGATGATCCAAAGTACTTTGTGCAGAGACCCACCAAGGTCCTCAGATATTGACTTTCAGGACAAAGTCGCCCCTGCCGCGGCCTTCCCCAGAGTTTGGCTACCCCAAAACGTGGCCTAGACGAGCAAAGAGAACGTGGGGAAAAGCTCAGCAACTTTCACTGGGCTGGTTCCTTTTTCCCAATCTTAAGCAGGCTCCCGAAATGCCTCCAGCGAAGTTTTGCAGGACTTGTTCTGGATCAGTTGGATAGTTGAAATTCTCGTTGAATTAGCCTCTGGTAAACATACAAAAAGCTATTGAAAATGGCGATTTATAGTGGAATTTCCCATTCAAAATGGTGGGTCTTTCCAGTTCGTTATGTGAGTGAGGGTATAATCCCCATATACCTGAGGGTATAATCCCCATATACCTGAAGTATTGGGTAATATAATCCCTTATAATCATCAACCAACATCAACCAACACGATGTGCCGGGCAGCTGCAGGCACCAAGGTCAGCCCAACGGCTCCACCGAGACAGGCACCTCCCAGAAAACGGCTCCACGATGCAGGGACTCCGGTCCCGCAAAGAGAGCGATTTCTTCATGGGAAAATCCTGGGAAAATCCTGGGAAAATCGAAAATCATAGGAAAATAAGATGCACAATCCAGAAACTCAATGGAGGTTGAACATTTCAAGCCATCTAAAAAGTATGACTATGTACCCCCCAAGCTTTGCACCTTGGTAGATGGGGATTTAACCATCGAATCTGACAGGGGAAATGTCCCTTACCCTCTGGTGTCATCCAAGATGGTGGGCCACCGGGATTTTCCCGGCAGTCATGTTTGATTAGACTCGATTAACGGGGATCAGCATCCCAAATATAGGATGGAACAAAGTATTATTCGAACCACACAGACAATGATGGTTGCCAAAATGATTCTAGCACAGGTTCCGAATGAAGAATTGCTACTCAGTACTCTCATGAGCGCTCTGTCAAAGTACAGTACCGAAACATGTAAGCATCACATGAACGCGGCAGAGGAGAAGTCGGTGGTGGTTTTCTTTCTGCTACGTTACCAAGCTTCAAAGGGAGCTGAGGAATCGACTAAAAATGCCATTGAAAACTGCGGCGATCTAACCCTGGATGAGTATTGGATCTCTTCAATTGGAGTCACCCCTCCGAAGCCTTGTGGTGCTCCAATAATGGCCCCTAAGACTTGAAGGGACCTGCGAAACGAGAGCTGGGCAAGCAAGCCAAGTATCCATCAAGAATGGTCCCAACAAAAATGTCGGGAACTACCCTCCAGCAATTTAACACAGCTATTCGAAATCACTATATATATATATCTCTCTCTCTCTCTTTTATAGTTAGATCATCTATGGAGGAGGCACCTTCCCTATGTTAAATTACCGGATGTTTTTTATTCTTTGAAAACAACTTAAATTCGGAGCTATTGAGCAACGAGGATGCCATCTCCAGCCCTAGATCGTCTAGGCGGTCACGCCGGTGTCTCCCTGTGACGCACCATTCCTGGCGCTCGTGGTTGGGCTTCACTGATTCACCCGTGGTGCTGTTAGTATAGCGAAACCACTCTTTTTTGCATCGATATGGTTGAAATCCCATCTGTAAGAAATGGCTATTTTCGCAATTGGAGATGCTGGATCCTATTGCTTTTAAGAACATGATCCAGTATAAAGGTTGAAACCAACCTCAAGTAAACGAACTTCTTTTGACGGGATGCTCAATTTTCTTTCCACGAAAAGCTTTGCGATTGTATCCCATTGAAAGAATGTGTCGTGTCAATGGGATGTGATATATTAACGGTTTATTAACATATATTAACTCATGAAGCGACCCAATTGATGTTTGGATGACTGTCCAAGTACGGCCAAGTCTCTGCAAAGTGCTCGCAGTTGTTCCACACCAAATTGTACCCATCATCGCCCACCCTCGACATTGCACGTTGAAGCACATCCTCCTGGGCCGGGGATGGTGGCCTTCTCACCGTTTCTAGTCATTGGTGGCTACACCATGCTACACCAAGGTATACAATCGAGGAAATTATACCAAACTTCAATACTTACCCGCACTTGACCCCCAAAGGATCCCAAAGGTATCAAGACTGTAGATCATCAAGAATCGCCCAAGCATAAAAGTTGGTGATGTCTGGTGCTACACTCCGGCTGGAAAGTCCCCCACGTCGTAGTTCGATGATTTTCCCATTCAAAGCCTCCTTCTATAGTTCAGAGATTTCCCAGCGGCACCCCATGTTTGATGGTTGGACACTTATATTATATCCCATATTCATCCATATTCTCCCATTCTAATCGCAGTATATCCCCATTTTGTTCGAAGATTTTCCTTTGACTTTCACATTGCCATGGTCCAATGGTGTTCTCTTGACTTCCCGATGTGTTTCCCATTTTAGGCCCCGGACCGGTGTGCTGGGACGCTGCACCAGGGTGTATTCGAAGACATTGCGTACCTGGCGTGCTGTCAAATATGAGGTTAACATGTAGCATCGACAAGACTAGGCACCAAAAGATTACCAAAGGTCTAGCAGCTAGCATGAAATTCATCCATACAACAAAAAAGTTTCTACTGCCATGCGACTTCCAATATAAAACACATAGATTCATTAAATCTTCCAGGGCCCCCTTTTGCCTTCCCACTCGACTGCCTCGTGCCGGATCTTCCCTCGAAGCCTGGCATGGCTCAAAATGAGGATAAAATCGCTGTTGCAGGAGGGAATCCCTGCCCGCGTGTTTACAGGGGACTGGGGCACAAAACAAAATCAATCGATTCAAGATCTATCTTCCAGTCGCACTGCACACGCGGAGATTTCCGGGATAGCCCTGGCTCTCAGAAATTTGAGTAATGTTAGTGAAAGAATAAGATCTATGTACCATCCTCAATTTCATTACATCGCTTTACTGAAACTAGATTGAATCAATATATATAATCATGTATATCTATATATTCCCATTGAACCCCTATTATTCTTGATTGATGTTTACCATTAAAAGCTCATATCAATAATCTCATGACATTTCCATGAGATTCCCGGGTTTTTCCCATCTTACGTCAAGCGTCGGATTGGATCTCCGACCAATGGGATGGTGGATGATGTAAGCTTCCGGTGCCACGTCCCATTGCACAAAGATGGCATGATGATCGTAGCCTCGGAGCAGAGATCAGTTTCCATAGTGGCACCGGAAGCTGGATGGAACCCATGGAAAACGGCTTAAAACGGCCTAGAAAATCCCAAGAAAATGATGGGTGACCAGGGATAGCATGACTTAAGAAACCTCCATGTACTTTCGTCTCTACATATCCATGTATCTATTTGTATCTATCTGTATATATATATATATGTGTGTGTGTGTACACTGCTAATAACATGCAGTCTAAATATTGATTTGGCAGGGGAGTGCGGCATGATTGTGGGACCGCACTCAACGAAGCTACCACAATCATGGGATACTGGGTCTGATCAACCCAGCGTACCTGCATCAGAGGATAGCAACCGGCTAAGCTGAGAACCGGAAACTAAGTAACTTTGATATAGCATCCGGCTAAGCTGAGAACCGGAATTCATTTTTCATATTTCATAATTCATGACTCATGTCCCAGGATCCGTTTCAGGCCCTCTATTCAGGAATTGGTGGTGCTCTTTTACTTCACCTCACTACGATCGAATCTATATATCCCACAGTGTGTTTTGGGTACTTTACCTCACTTGGTAGTACCGTCTGTCCGTTTCGACGGATATGAAAGTTATGACCGGGCATTTTCCCGGCTGCAGAGTGGGATGTCGCCAACATCCTGAAGTCCCCTTTGCATATTACATGCAAAAGAAGTAGACAATGTCAAGGTGGACATTGAAGTTCGTTCAACACATATTGACAGCCATAAGGCGAAGTTTAGCCCATTGGGGAAGTACCCACAAGGGAGAAGTTGTCACATGACGAAGTACTCTGAATGCGCACTTCTTCCAGTACATGTGGTTGGAGTCTCAGTAGCATTTTCACCTCACTCGTCATCGTCATCAGGTTCTTTTTAGGCTATGTATTCATTCTATTCGGCAGGCTCCTTAGGTTTGTTTTTCCAGGTATCGAACATGTTTAACGTTTTGTTTCTCACATCACTCGTCATCGTCATCAGGTTCTTTTGAGGCCATGTATTCATTCTCTTAGGCAGGCTCCTTAGGTCAGTTTTACTAGGTATAGAACATGGTTCAACGTTTTAATTCTCACATCACTCATCATCGTCATCAGGTTCTGTTGAGGCTATGTATTCACTCTCTTAGGCAGGCTCCTTAGGTTTCTTGAAACCATGGAGATGTGGTTTGATTTGACAGATCAAATGCCAGTCATGGGTGTCACTTGAACCAAAGAAAACCACACGCTAAGTTCATTCCCCAGTGAGCAGACCCGAATATCTTCCCTGGAGAGGCATTGGAGGAAACTGGCCGATTCAGTTGGAAAATTCTGTTGTTGCAACCCTCCCCTTGTTGCGTTGAAAGTAACTTTTTGCTTTTCACATCACTCGTCATCGTCATCAGGTTCTTTTAGGCCAGGTATTCATTCTCTTAGGCAGGCTCTTTAGGTCAGTTTTCTCAGGTAAAAACTATAGGCAGTTTGCGGTTTTGCCCCATTTACTGATTTGCCTCTCATATTGAGAGGCCATGTGTGTGTGTACACTGCTAATAACATGCAGTCTAAATATTGATTTGGCAGGGGAGTGCGGCATGATTGTGGGACCGCACTCAACGAAGCTACCACAATCATGGGATACTGGGTCTGATCAACCCAGCGTACCTGCATCAGAGGATAGCAACCGGCTAAGCTGAGAACCGGAAACTAAGTTATAGCATCCGGCTAAGCTGAGAACCGGAATTCATTTTTCATATTTCATAATTCATGACTCATGTCCCAGGATCCGTTTCAGGCCCTCTATTCAGGAATTGGTGGTGCTCTTTTACTTCACCTCACTACGATCGAATCTATATATCCCACAGTGTGTGTGTTTCTAAGAGCAATGTTTCTGCATGCATGTGGAAATTGTGTGAGTATATCATCATTATACCCGCACACGAGTCACAAGTATACCAACTTGGGAGGTGTGAGGCCTCCATTCCAAGACTCCTGCTGTTGCATCTCCACACCGAGAAGAAGAGTTATCCGCGATTGTCGCGATTGTCGGGCTCAAAGTGAAGCTCAAACAGAACCCACTAAGACAATGGAGTCCCGAGTCTTCCAAAACTCAAAGTCCCATTCCGAATATTTCCTAGGCAAAGTCCCATGACAAAAATCCAATAAATCTATTGGTCCCACGGCAAGTTCTTTCGCAGCCAAGGCTCCAAATCGCCTCCGCTGAATGTGATCCCCTGGCTGAAATGTGTTGCCGTCTTCGTTGGCCGCCATCAGCAAGGAACAACTTCGAAGAACGGTTGAAAGATCCGGATTGGTTTTTGGATGTTTGGGATTTTTCTCGTTTAAGAGTTTGAAAACCCAAGGAGTCCCAAGGGCAAGATCAAGCAGAGGAAGGGAATTCCGATATTTTGAAGACAATTTTTTCGGTCAGGTCAGGCAGCTTTTGTGGTCCCGGTCATGTTGTGTTGTCATGCAATCTCATTAGGTTCCCTATTCTGAGGGAGATTCACCCTGCATCATGGGACCACCATAGTCTGCCGCTACGTGTGGCCTCAGGGCCCTTAAAGCTGCGGCAGGCGCGGCATGCAGATCCCCGCAGGGCTGGTAGGTCTTGTCTCTTCTTCCATCTCTTGTTTGTTTCACTTTCATCTCATTGGTCTTACCATGATTGGTTGCTTGTTGACCACTTCCGTTAACAACTCCCATTCTGCTGGTATTGTTCGCATTCCTGTTTGCACATGATGTTCTTCATTAGTTGAAGAAAGTCGTGCTACAATGCCTGTGTCCGAACACCTCTTCGGGTGGCTAATCACAGATGCCTCAAGCCAACCAAAAGATACAATAATATAGACCTATGTGTATATATATATATGTGGGTAGAACATAATATTTCACTAACCTGAATTAAGGCCATTTGGGGATGATTTCCGTTATTAAACATGATTCCAGTGAGGTCGCAGTGAAGTCGTTATAATTTACCCAGATATATTTTTAAAAACAATAATGTCAACCCATATTAATAATTATCATATTAGAAAACATCTGAAGTTTCTTATCTCTGCAGGCTGCCAATGCGGCGTTTTGACTTCCGGCGTCAACAAGGCCTTGAGCCTCGCTACCAGCTGCCTCGTCGCACGAGGAAAATTGTGCAGCAGTCACAAAGGGTGACCCAGTCATCGGCGTGGCAAACAAGGCGACGCCAAAGGACGCCAAGGCGAGGGCAACGACAAAATCTTACAACTCTTGTGATGGTTGAGAGATGTTGAGAGTGTTGACAATTAAGCAACTGATACTGATGATGGTGATGCTGATGGTGATGCTGATGGTGATGGTGATGGTGGTGCTGGTGGTGGTGGTGGTGCGGATGATGATGATGATGATGATGAGGAGGAGGATGAGGATGATGATGATGATGATGAGGAGGAGGAGGAGGATGAGGAGAATCAGGAGGATGAGGAGAATCAGGAGGATGAGGAGAATCAGGAGGATGAGGAGAATCAGGAGGATGAGGAGAATCAGGAGGATGAGGAGGACGAGGAGGACAAGGAGGATGAGGAGGATGAAGAGGAGGAGGATGAGGATAATGAGGATGATGAGGATGATGATGGATGATGGACGATGGACGATGGATGATGGATGATGGAGGATGGAGGATGGATAGATGGATGGATGGATGGATGGATGGATGGATGGATGGATGGATGGATGATGATGATGATGATGATTTTGATGATGATGAGTTTAATGATGATGAGTTTAATGATGATGAGTTTAATGATGATGAGTTTAATGATGATGAGTTTAATGATGATGAGTTTAATGATGATGATTTTAATGATGATGATGATTTTAATGATGATGATGATGATGATGATTTTAATGATGATGATGATGATGATGATGATTTTAATGATGATGATGATGATGGTGATGGTGATGATGATGATGGTGATGTTGATGATGATGATGGTGATGGTGATGATGATGATGTTGATGATGGTGATGGTGATGGTGATGATGATGATGATGGTGATGATGATTTTGATGATGATGATGATGATGATGACGATGACGATGACGATGACGATGACGATGACGATGACGATGACGATGACGGTGGTGATGATGATGGTGATGACGAGGATGATGATGACGAGGATGGTGAGGATGAGGATGATGATGATGATGATGATGACGATGAGGATGATGATGATGATGATGATGGGGATGATGGTGACGGTCCCAAAGACTGTGTTGGAGATTGAAAATGATTGAAGTGTTTAACAGTAAATATCTATATATTTCTATTCAAACAACCAGTCCTCTCGGAATGGATTTGTGGTTTGTCTGTGCGTTTGGCTATGCCATTTCCTCCCCCTCAGCAATCTTTGCCACCGGATTGCAATGGCTAGCTTCGGCCATTTGAACAAGAACGGGAAAACCAGAAATGCAGATCGCTCGGAAAATCTTGCTGCCACAGTCACCGGGAAAAGTTGCAACGTTTAACCAGCAATGGACGTCAAATATATATATATATATGTCTATATATATATGTGTGTATAGAATGTGTACCAATAAAAATAAAATATCTTTACTCTTCCCTTTGTGCACCAAGAACTCTGAGCCAGGTCATTTCTTTTTACTCAAGCTGGCACGCTCCATCATCACTTTCCCCGGTAGCGGGCAGCTTGATCTGCTTGATTTTCTTTGCTCCGCGAATCAAAGTGTGGCATAGTTCACGCTCAGGGTGTTGCAAAATGGGTACTGGGTGGTGGGGCTGGCATCCCAGGCTCCATTGGTCCTGCGAAAAAGACCCCCAGGTCCTGGGCCCTGCAATCCAATGTACTTCATGGGTCCCGCAAAAATGAAGAAGTGCTAAAAATCAGCACAGGCAGCTTTACCCATGGTTTATCCATGAATTTTCGCCTCTGACAGGTGGACGAGGGTGCATGGTAGATAATATATACATACACGTATATTTGGATATACATAAAATACAACGATAAATAATAACTATATCTCTCATTCATAATACGTATATATATATATGCGTGTGTGCGTGTGCGTAGTACCCATTGTCTAATAGTTGAGGTTAAACAGTTTTCAACCAACAAACATAACTAGGGGGGTTCTTCACTCTGTTTCTGTTCACCGCTTCGCCCGTTTCGGTTCTGGCACCGAGGTGCTGGTCATCGTTCGGATCAGCCGTGACATTCAAGACCTGCAACGAAACGAACGACTGTTCAAGGCTCAAGGGACGAATTGAAGAAATCCAGTAGAACACGTAGAACCTTTTGGTTTTTATGTGTTTGGTTTATTTGTCAAATTATACGACGTATTGATGCTAGCCATACCTGTAACATCTAGACGTTACACAAAACAATGTTCTATCATGTTCTGTCATAGCTCTATCCATAAGATCATTTCCACATTTTTCTATTCTACCCTACTAAATCTAGCAACGGGCCCCATGATGTTCGAATGGAAACGTCATCATCTTTCGCCGGCAGCCGCCTTATACAACTGCAAGCAGCCCATGACCTTGTCCTGTTGAGGATGCGCAGGAACGGCCACGCCCATGTGACCGTAGAAGCCCCCGTGCAACCTGTGGCATAGGTCACTCACGCGACATTAAGAACTTCTTAAGTTCATGCAATGTTCATTTCAGTAGACAGTCCCCAATGTTGTCAATGTGGCCGACCAGGCAAGGATCTAAAGCTGAAGAAACAAATTCGTCTAGTTGTAAGGACCATCAATGATGTTCATCGCATAGTTATGGCTCAGAATTGGTTCGTCGTGAACCAGAGTTAAACCTAAACATATGTAAAGCATCCCCAATTTGTATCCATGTGGGGTTTGTAAACAATTTGCGGTTTGTAAACAATTGGACATCCCCCTTCTTGGAATGGTTCCTACTAGCCCGCAATGGTTCAAATTCTGGATCCCACATTGCTCCCCCAGATGCAAGGCAGGAAAGTCGCGACTTCAAAGTCCAACATACCCATCCCTCTAAAAGTTGCATCCCATCCCAACATTACCCCCAATTGAACAATCTCGAAAATTTTAAGTTCACGAAAAGGACATCCAAAAATTTGGGAAGGTCCCATCGCTTACCACACTTTTGCACAAAAATGATATATGGCAAACTTGAGAGGTATCGCCTGCAGGAAATTTTAATGATCTACTTGGCTCCAGAGCGGAAGCTGTGCTTCCTTTTTGATCAGGAATCTTCGCTGCAGGACTCTGAGCTATCTGAAGAGGTGCTACTGGAAGAGGTGCTTTGCAAATCTCTTTTTCCCCACCTGCCAGGTGAGGGCCTCTGGATTTGAACCCTGCACCACACCACGCCACACTGAGTTGCCAGCTTCCCCGGCATGGATGGCCAGCTTGTTGGCCAGACGCATTCTGGTCCCCTACGGGAACACTATGGGGAGCTTGCCAGCTCTCTGGCCCCCACAGGCTCGAACCTTTGCCAGAAAGAATGTCAGATAGAATGCCAGTTGATAGATCGATCGATCTATCTATCCTACCATCTTACCATCTATCCATCCACTAGCTAGCTACCTAGCTAGGTAGCTGGCTACCTATCTATCTAGCTTTCTCTATCTAGCTTGCCACCAGAAAACATGAATGTGTCACAGACTGATGTGCACCTGGCTGCCTGGGACAGAAAAAGGGGCATCGCGTGGGTATCGCTTAGGCATCGCTAGGCATCGCTAAAATTCACCTCATAGTTTTCCAAATTTGGTCTGTTGATACTGTAGTATTTTGTCGGAAAGCAGCTTCATCAAACAACAGCAGTGCGAAACTGGAGTCAGCAGAGAGGCAAGCGAAACAGTGCAAGTTCACATTCATCTCAATGGAAACACTCTTCAGCAACGACAATAATTTGTCACAAGGAAGCTTCACTAAACAACAGCAGTGGGGAGATAAATTCAGCGGAGAGGCAATCGACATGGCGAAAGTTCAAGTGGAGAGTCAATGAAAACATGCAAGGCAAGGATGTGAAGGCAGCTAGTGAAACAAACATGCAGGGACTTGCCTGCCTCTTCTGTGTTTTTCCTTCTCTGCGGACCACTCCATGGATATCAAGGAGAACACTTTCTGAGGAGCACGTGCCCTTGTGAGCTCAAATCTATACAAAATGATATATATATATATATATTTATTTATTTATAACCTTGAAAGATCTCGAAGGGGGGTATCACTTATTTATTTGGGAAGGTCACATCGCTTACCTCGTTTCTTTTTTTCATCATTTCCGAAAATTTCCACAAACCAATGTCCGTCCCTTACATGTTTAATATTGCCGGGTTTTTTGCGGTGGCTCATTTGATGTTCCCATTTCCCTCCATGACGACTCGACTATCCCCGCGAGGTGGTGCGCCACAGGCACAAGCGCACGCAATCCACACAGGTCATCTCGGCGTCCACGGTGCGTTCGCGGCACTTCAGCTGCGAAGTCGAGGAATGGGCGTGGAAACCCCGCAGCATCAGCAGCCGTCGGAAGAAGATGATGTGTGGCCGCCTGAACTGGGACCCTGTGGAAGCCATTTTGCCATTTGTTTTTCCCATGGATAATATATAGAAGTGTGGGTCACCATGAATTTGGGATCGAAAATGTCGCGAAACATTACTCAAAATCGCTGGATACATGCAAATCCGGAGAGGCAACAACCTTGCGCGTTTGTTTCACTCGCGTATTGTCATGGTTCATTGTGGGGCTATCAGTGTCCCTCCCAAGACACTTTCAATGGCCATGTTAATTTAGCCCAAACCCTCCGGTTGTTTCGTGGTTCATTTCAATGATACCCGTAGCCACGTGCGAAAAAAAGCGCCTCAAAACCCAGACCTCCGCGTGTTTTTTGTCTGACTCCGCATTCAATTCGTGTTGAATGAGGCATTCCTCAAATGCGGCAACGACCACCCCGTTCAAGGCAACCATCCACAGTTCCAAATAGAATCCACCTAGAGACTTTTGGAAGCAAACACCATTAGTTCATCTCATATTCATTCCCATTTAAAATGTCCCATCATCTGGAAATGTCCAACCCAACCACCTTGATCTTTGGCCGAAATTCCAACCATTCTGCCCGTTTGGCCTTTTCTTGCGGGTCCTGCACGGGCGGTTTCAGCTCCGGCGGCGGAGACATCACGGCGTGCCGCCGCACAGCGCTTCCCGCGGCGGTGTCAGTGGTGGTGGGGGCGGAGCCACCGAGCCAGGCGCCAGGGTCAGCCACCCACAG